TATATATATATATATATATATATATACACACACACACAGACACGAATAAAACTACAATTATTATATTATAAATTATTATAATTACTATTAATTACTATGTATTATTATGACTTTTATAATATTGAAAATAATTGATAAAAGATTGTTTAAAACTATATTAGTTACATATGTGTGTGTGTGTCTATATATATAAAACTATAATTATGTTATAAATTATTAATATTATATAAATGAAAAGTTTAATTCATAAAAGATTCTTTTCAAATTTTGTTAAAGAGGTCATGAATTGAGAAATCCAATTTCCCTTGATCTTGTGACATATAAGAGCTCATTGTACTATAAAAACATCCTGTAAGTTTCAGAACTCAGAACTTTCTCTTTAGTCTAAAAACGGTTTATATTGAAGCCAATCTGCCAAAACAACAGGTTGAGGAATGTGCCGCTCTATGACGTAATAGTGTGGCTAAACCCCGCCTCCGCAGAAGATCAACGCCTGCTTCTACATCACTGCCTGTTTAGCTCCGCCCACCGATTCACTCATGTAGTGTAAATAACGAGAGAGGCACACGCAGGGCTACACAGAAACCAAATGATAAAGATGCTCTGAAGACAACAAGACGCTGTTCAGAGCCAAGCTGTGGAAACAGCCTTTGCATCGCCTTCCTTCTGATCCCAGCATTAGGAAAGAGTGGATGAACTTCCAGATCGCTTCAATATGAACCTCGTCATTTGTTCGCTTCATTTTTAACGTGGATTCATTTAAAAAAAATAAGAAACATCTGAAAAATTGTATATTTTTGTTGAATACATTTTTAAAAATAAAAATAATAACTTTATTTTACACAACATTTAATTTTACAGTGAGCAAGCTTCTAAATAAAAATGAAGGAAAAGCTGTCCTTAAAATAGAAAAATATTTTCAGAAAATAGAGAAAAATAAAAAGATTTGTAAAACAAAATGCATACATAAGAGAATAAAATAAAGTAAAAGATAACCTAAAAATATATTTAAAAAATGTTTGTCATGTTTAGAAGTTTAAAAGCGGGAAATTGATTTAAAGTTCACTTTTTTTATTGACGTAAAGGTGGCTTAGTGTTAGTTAGAAAAATAACTAATGGTTTCTGTGTATTTGAGAATATGTTTTATTCAGCACATGAAGGCATGAAATGTTAGGGTGAGGTGGACATGAAATGTCGTGGCACGTTCCTCACGCTGCGAGCGTTTGGGAGTCTCTTCTAGAGACGGGCGGCGAGGTACAGCATGTCCTTTAGTGCAGACAGCAATGCATGCTGGGAAACTGCAGAGCTAGTGTCTCACAGTGGAGTGGGAGAGAGGAGGAGATGCTGAAGTCGTGACTGAAGTGCGCTGATGCACACCCCACCCCCTGCAGCCATGCAGCATCGCAGCACTTTAACAGACAGATCTCACAGTGAAGGATACATTAACCTGATGAGCACGTGATTCATGTTGCTAGTTTTGTTTTATTATGTATGTTTCCTTTTATGTGTATAGCAATTGTGTGCTAGTGACGGGAATCTTAAGCTGGTCTTAATCTTAAGGCCCGTTCACACCAAGGACGATAACTATAAAGAACGATAAAGATCTAGTTCTAAAAATCGTTCTCAATATTAAAGAATAGCAGAGTCCACACCACAGCTATAACGATAAAGACAAAGAGAAACGATATCGTTGGAATCACTTTCAAAACGATTTTTCTCCAGCTGATTAACGATAAAAAATTGACAGCCAATCAGAATCAAACATGCTGTAACGAGCTCGAGAATTTAAAGCGGCAGACGTGTGTGCGCTTAGAATAAACGGACGATATCGTTCGCTGGTGTGGACGCTAATATCGTTATCTTTATAGTTATCTTTATAGTTATCGTTCTTGGTGTGAACGGGG